ACAAATATCTCCATATATACCCTCGTCATCCGGGCAGTTGATTAGGGCGGTCGTCAACGGGCCGCAGCGCGTGCCAGGAACTATTTGCTTTTTCCAGGCTAATTTAGTCATTTTTTCCACCTTGTGAAGATAAGGAGCTGCTAATCTGGGAAAAAGTAGCCAAAACAGTGAAAAGTTGGAAAAAATGACTAAATTAGCCTGGAAAAAGCAAATAGTTCCTGGCACGCGCTGCGGCCCGTTGACGACCGCCCTAATCAACTGCCCGGATGACGAGAATATCTTCATGACCCCAAATTGCGAAAATCAGGCCAGTTTCATATAAAATCAAAATCCTGCCAGGTATTAGCCGAAAAGTGAGACAAGAATATCACTTAAGCCATTCAAATAAAGCTCGATTTGTTCTCTTGGGGAGAAAAGTTGTCTGCAGTGACAAAAGAAAATGTGCATGAAAAAAGGCCTCAATGTGCTGCTTGTAGGGCTGAAAAGGGGTTCTGCTGAATAATGGCACAGGAGTGACGCCTAGCATATCCTACTTTAACAGACTTTAGAAGAAGGCCGACGTCACATGTAAACTCCTTTCAAGAAGGCCGAATATCTTCCTACTCCACGACAGCCACCACCCGCATGGGAAATATGCCACCTGAGAAATTCTGGGTCTCGCTTGGACTTATGACTATACTCCACTTACTCTCCAGTCTTATTGTTAGCAGCTTCTGAATACCACCTATTACCGGCACTAATGCAACACTTGAAAGATGAGAAAATTGATAATTGACGTCAGCTCGGAAATGACGTCAAGATCTTATTTCGCCGTAGTCATCGGAATTCTGCGACTGCACAAACGAGAAGCTACCCAACTGGTGGGCGATTGTCCCAGGTATCTATGGTGCTTGTTGATTGAAGTTCTCGATCATTGAAGAAATATCCAGTTCGAAATTAGCTTCCAAGTGTTGCACGACTTTTTTCCAACTTATTTTTTGTGTCATAGTTGTTATTCAATGTATGTAAGCTGCGGTATTTTCTTGAATGAAACACATTATGTCCCGGTAACGACTGCCATTTACATAAAAAATCTTTTACAGCTGCTGGCATTTGAGCCAAACATGGGTACTATGTTTTGACCTACTGCAGTCATTCTTGATAGTAAATAATTAAATGAACAGCTAGACAGTAGGTAATAACAATACCATGAATATTAGTAATAATTGGTGAATAATAATTATAATATTCTCACTCACCTGCCTACCGTACTGGTCTATATAAGCTATAGCTCCTTCGAAATCAGGCCTGACTTCGTGGACTTTCTTCATAAATGCCTGAAAAAGGAGAACTCAAGGAGAAAAATATGTGTTTTCAAATCAGAAGTTCCACGAGTGTCGTGTGAGAACCGGGTTTTTGGAACAGTAGGGTCATAACATGGCTAAGGGGTAGGTTTTGTTGGAATCTGTTGTGCCAGCAGTGTCCTCGGTGTAGACATGTGAGGTACTGCTTGGGAACTCTTGATTATTTTCGTGTTTTTTTACGAAGGCAGGTGATCGTATTGTGCAGAAGGAACTGCGCCGTTGAAGAGAGTAAAAGACCCCACTTACAAAAGCCTCGATAAAAATTTTATACCAACGACTTATCCATTTTTTGGAATTTATAGTAAATTTTAACACCCGCAGGTAACAATTCGAAAAATCGTTTGGCATATATGGGTTCATTTGTTGTTAATTATGTTCAAATTTTTGGACAGGCTCATTGAACAATTTGAAAGTAAGTGTGAGGG